GATATACAAATTGTGGTATTACTGTATAATGGGATATTACTCAGCAATAAAAAGGAATGAACTATTGATACACTCAGCAACCAATATGATGAATCTCAAAATAATTATGCCAAGTGAAAAAAATCCAGACAAAAAAAGAGTGCATATTATATGATTCCATTTAAATAAATGTCTAGAAATTGCGAAAATCTGTAGGGACACAAAGTAGTTCAGTGGCTATCTGAGGAGGAGACGCAGACAGGTGGATGGGAGAAGGGGATTACAACCAGGCATGACAAGACTTTCGGGAGTGATGGTTATGTGCAGTATCTTGACTGTGATGATAGCGTCACGAGAATATATGTATGCCAAAACTTACCAGATTATATACTTTAAATATATGCAGGTTATTGTATATTGGTTGTACCTCAATAAAGACAAAAAAAAAAGATTTAACCTAAAAATGAACAATCTGTATTTTTATTTACCAGAGCGATGCTGCTACAGGGTGAAATCACAACAGATTTATTCACTTGATTTGCTACCTTTTTAATTATATAATTCTTGACAAGTGTTTATTTTATTTGCATTATTTCAGTTTTGCATAAGGTGCAACCTCACTTCCAAGTGGTTCAGACAAGTGTCATGGGGATTGAAAGGAGGAAGGGATCACATTAAGTCAGAGGTTTAGGCTTCAGTTTGGGTAGTTGAACTTGACCTTAGTCTTGAAGGCAGGGTGAGATTTGTTAGATGAAGAGTTGGGGAACGTCAGTCTAATCAACGGGTGCAGACGTAGGTGAGAAATGAGCAGACGCTCTTTACGTGGTCAGTCCTCACAGCAGTTTTGTTATGTAGAGGAATTATTCTCATTTGCTGCTGAGGAAACTAAGGCTCTAGACACTAAATGTTTCTTCCAACCTCAGAAACTGGCAAAGTCTCCAACTCCTATGGGCACTTTGCTATGTTCATAAGACAGTGACAAGTGTGACAAGGGGGAAGAAATAAAGTAAGTGGTAAGGTTGGAAATAGTCATAGGGTTAGATCAGGGATGGCCTTCAAACGATATAACTTTTAAAGAGTTTCAACTTTCAGAGTCCATTGGGGAATGAGCAGTGAGGATACCATTAAATATTTTTGAGCAAATAGGTTTATTATGATTCAGTAGTAGTGGCAATAGTAGAGTGAGATGGGAAGGGTAGATTTGAGAGATATTATGAAGTCCAGATTATTAGGACTTGATGATGAATATAGTTGGCCAATGAATAGAAGAAATCAAAGCTGATTGTAAAGATTTTGATATGGGTTATAAGAGAAAAAGTTGTATATTTGACAAATAATGAACTCTGGAGAGGTCCCTGATTTTCATGGAAGGGTGTTGAGTTCAGTTTGGCACACGCTGAATTTGTGATTATTTTGAAACATTCAAATTAAAAACACCAGCAGTCAAGTGACATTACAAAATCAGAGCTCAGGAGAAAGTCAGGGCTGCACATGTAGTGGTTTTACTTAAAGATAGAGGAAACGCAGAGGGTTGGGGTCTGTACCTTGGGCAAGGCTCATGTGTTAGAGCGTAAAGGAGGATGTTGGTTCCTCTTTATCTCTACTGCCACAGCCGTTGTTCAGGCCCTACCATCCTTCACCCAGGCCATTACAGTCTGTTTTGTCAAAACCATCCTCCAAGTGGCAGTCATAGTGATCCATCCAAAATACCTCTCCTACATGATAGAGTCATGGCACATTAGCATGGCATGTGAAGCTCTCCGTGATCTGGCTCTTTGCCTGCCTCCGGAGCTTCATCACCAGCTGGCCAGCAACACTGATAGTAATGGTGGTTAAATTAGCACCTTCTGTCTGCCAAGCATTATACTGTATATCAGTATCTTATTAATTCTTACATCAACCTTGCAAGTTATATATTATTATCCTCATTTTACAGATGAGGAAACTGGGTTTTAGACCAGGTTACACAGCCATTAGTCAGTGGTAAAGTTGAAACGTAACCCTGATTTCTCTAACCACAAAGCCCTTAACCTCTGTGCTATGCTGAATTCCTTCTAAGCGCGTCATGAAATTTCTGCCTCCCACGCCTTTCTTTCTGTATGCTTCCCTTGTGTCTGGAGTGCTCTTCCCTCCTGTCCAATCTCCTTAAATCATCTGACTCCTGCTGAGTCTTTAAGCCCATTTAAGAGTGCTTGAAAGATATTTTTCCTGCCTTTCCTGCCTCCCCAGCTGGTTCAGAGCCCATTCTCTCACAGCCCATAATCCTTTGCACATTTCTCTTTCATTGTACTATACACATTATTATAATTATCTGGGTTCTTATATCCCGGTCTTTCCATTAGATTAGGGGTCGGCAAACTTTTCTGTAAAGGGCCAGGTGGTAAATATTTTAGGTTTTCTAGGCCATATCATCTCTGTTGCAATTACCCAACTCTGCCATTGTGGTGTGAAAGCATCCATAGCAATATGTAGACACGTGAGTGTGGCTGAATTCCAATAAAACTATTTATGGACACTGAAGTCTGACTTTCACTTGTCACAAAATATTCCTCTTCTTTTGATTTGTTTTTTTAATCATTAAAAAAATGTAAAAACCATTATTAGCTTGTGGGCCATACAAAAACAGGTGCAGGCTGGATATAGCCCAGGAGCTATAGTTTGCTAATCCCTGCATTAGAGTGTGAACTTCTTCAAAGCAGGTACTGAACTGAATTAACTTATATATCCCCATTGGATGGCCTTTGGTCGGTGCTAAGGAAACTGTTGAGCCTAAAGAGGAACATGGGGAGCGTGTAGAATTAGGAGAACCGCTGTTAAGCAGTGTATCCGAGTCAAGAGAGGACTGTGTTTTAAAAAGAGAGGGGATTATTCTGGGGATTTATCCTGTAGGAATAATTGCACACATATGCAGATGCATATTTAGGGATATTTGTAATACAGAATGATGACAACAACCTGGACGTTCATCTGTACGGGACTGGTTTTGTGATATATCCATAAAGTGAAATACTCTGTGGTCGATAAAAAGAGTAGCCACCACAGTTGCTTGCAAGAGAATCCAGTTCAAAAAAGCCACCTGGAGAATGAGCACTGCCATCTCCTAACCTGGGGGTCTTCTCGTGTAGTCATGGCTTCAGGTAGAGCGGGAGAGGCAGTGCAGATTCCCCGATGTTTCGTTTCTTACTCCGACTACAACCACATTGTTGGACTGCACTTGTAGCCAGGAAGCTCTGAAAACCCAGACTCAGCAGACGCTTCCTTTTACAATGCATTTAAATGCTTAACATGCATAGCCCATCCTTACTGAAGGTCAGCCGTCAGAAAAGAATATCTGTTATTCTCATATTCCTGTATATAATACATGCTCTCTTATGTTGTTGTGGGAATAGTAGTGGTCGTTATTGGTGTGTGACCCTTTTATTTCAAGGGTCTGAGAATACCAGATACCCAACCATTGGCTAAATGGGACAGTCGTTAGAGCCCGGTGTGAGACCCTAGGCTTGCTAAATGACAGGGAATCCTCACTGTGGATGACTCTACCCAGGGTGCTGTGAGTGAACACAGTAACCGGAAGTGAATGAAAGAAGAAAAAGTCATTTTATTAGAAGATATCATTGTGTTTAGGGATATTGAAACATTATTAAAAAAAAAAAAGTAAAGACAACTAGTACCATAGGATAGGGAGAAAGGAAACGTATGTCAGATTTTTTAGAAAATGAAGGGAAACACATCTTACCAGATGTCTTAACCTGTAAAGATGAATTCTAAATGCTCAAATAGTTCAGGATAAAATTTTCTTTCATTTTAACATTTACATACTACTAAATAGTACTAGATGATTTTATAAAATACAATAAACAAAATGTTACTTTACTTATTTCTAGACTTATCTTTTAGCCCTAGTATTTCTTTTTTCTAGCATTTACAGAACACCTATTAAATACAACTCACTGTATGGAGAGCTGTGGTTCATACAGACGTATGGATATACTCAGACCAGATATTTCCACAATCTGATAGATAGATTTTTCTTGAAAAAAGTTTTCTTGGTTAAATAAGTTTGGGAAACGCTGGCTAAGCAATGTTAATTAGATTTCTCAGAGCCTTTATTATACTAATCTGATTTGACCTTGGAGTCATTCTTTCTAAGAGCAACTCCAGACTATTAGAGAACATAGTTGGGGAAGTACTAACTTAGACCTTCGACTGAATTATTGTTTCATCTACTGATTTGCTTCAAGCCCATTTAGTCAAAGACATTCTCAAATAATAACCTAATCAGCACATTTTTTGAGCACTCTGTTGTACCAAAAAAGGTGACAAGTAAGAGACATTGATAACAAATTTAAGAACATATTGTGCAGTTTGTCAAGGCTTTGGAAAGTGAGTTTTGATGATCCCCTGGACCTTGTCCTTTAATAGATGAACAAGAAACAGTACTTTAGGGTGACCATACCAATATGTTGTCTAAACTGGGGTGCTTTGAGAGTGAAGGGCTTGCTGTTAACGCTACGGGGACCACAGGTGTGAAGGAGGACTATCCCAGGGAGAGAGGGATGGCTACATTAGTCACGGCATAACCTCATCACTCGTGTACAGTTTCATCTGGGATCTTAATTATTTCAGCCCTGGTTCTTGACTTTAGTAGCCTGTTTCCCAGAGCTGATTGATTCTTGGTTGATTCACAGGCTTTGGGATGTGTGACAGGTTCTGAAGTCATTTATAGCAGTAATGCTTTAAACCTGAAACAGTGGCTTTGAAGAATGCAACTGTGTATGTAACAAGTAACCTTCAAAGGGGATAGAAGTGGAACTGTGCATATTCCTGACAGTTACTGTATAGAATTTTTAAAATGTCTCTCCCAGAGAAGTTTCCTCCAAAGAGTACCAAGAGTATTAGTTTGTACTATCAAAATTAAAATGAAATTTACTGTGTAAAAAATTGTAGAACCAAAGCAGAAGAGAAGAATTGTTTCATTTATATTTAATGTTTTCTGTCTTTTTTTTCAATCTTTTTTGCAGTTTTTTGAGGTGCCGTTTGATTCAAACATGAATAGAACAAAGAACAGACCTCTGGTTCGTGGACAGATCAGGTAAAATCATGAATATAAGTCTCTTCCACATTATAGAACATTCATTTGCTTATTCATCCTGAATTGTTTCCCAGTCTTCTACCTTGAATTGTGCAGTGAAAGTAACACACCCAGAAGGGACATGTTGGTGTGGATACACAGAACTTATCAACTCTAACCAACAAGTGCTAAATGCATCTAAGATTTGCAGTTTTGTGGTGGGAGTAACTCATGTGCTAGATTTCTTTACTAAGTTCAATTTTGAGACATGGACTGGTTTTACTTGTAGTGGCTGAAGAGAAAAACATTCCATTAACACAGATGATTTCAGACAAATCCATATAGAGTCTCAGAAGAAAGCTATGTCTGAAGGCTTCTCTTTTCAGATAAACTGATAATGCTATTATATGCCAAGTAAAGTACTGCCTCCATTACTTTCCTTTCTACCAAATTCAATTAAGTAGAACTAAAAGGCATATAAATATTTTAATATCACTAATGGTTAATAATTAAACATTTTACTTCCCAGAGACCTGAAAACTGGCATTTTAAAATATTTTTTAAAATTCAGTAGATATCGCAAGCTGAGAGAATAAAAAGAGCCAAATGGTTTATACTGACTATTCTAAATCAGTGAGTCCTCTCGTCGTATTTCCAGACAATGCCTTCATGGAGCTTAAAGTTTATAGGGGTAACATTTGTGGATCAAATAATCACAGATATGAAGTAAAACAATACAGGAAACAAATGCAGATACAGTCAGATAAGTCTATGTAAAGTGAGTCTTAATATTAGCTGTTTTTAGCCATTTAATTTTTAAATGAATTTAAAATGCCATTATATTGAAAAGGGCACTAGAGCCAGGTGAAAATATATAAGAACAGAAATCTCATGTCTACTGATATTTATATTTTTGAAATATAAATAAAGCTATCTGCCGTGTTTATGTTTAGAAAGTGTCAGAAGTACTTTTACTTGAATAAAGTTGTCTTAGAGGGGCGAATGCAGCCTCTATGACCAGCTCAAAAGCTAAAAGCTGCTCTTGCCACTGGTCATATCACAGGTAAATTCTCACTTACTTGGAATTTCTATCCAGCCATTTTTCCTCAGTGAAATCATACTTTCCTTTAGAACCAAGGAGGAGGCAAGCCCAGCAAGTAGTCATTAGGCATATAATGGTAATCAAATAAAGGCCCGTCATTCTACTAGTGCCTCATCTTACTTTGCCCCATGTGGTCGTTTCCTGCACTCAGAAAGCAGTGTATCAGCACATCCGGGAGGGAGGAGCATCATGGCCTTAGCAGTTGGTATTGGCAGTGCCCTTCCTTTAAAGGAGAGAGGCTGCAGTACAATTATTAGTCTTGTTAAACTTGTAACTTCATCTTTTGTTTGCAACATGACCCAGGCAGAATCTCATTTATGATAATAAACTTTAATTGCTATTTTAGAGGGCAAATTATAGGCCTGAAAAAAAGTAACTCAAACTTATTTTTACAGCTAGGACATATTATATTAAATAGGTACAAGGAGCTGTTACGAGTCTGGGGCAGAAATGTTGCATTGAGAAACATAGTTTTAAAACTGAAGACTTTATATCTTGCCAGTTAGTGTTTATTATAATTCAGTAAATTATTATCTACTACACAGATATTTTGTAAGTGGGTGGCCGTAGAGGTGTAGTAGAGTTTTACAGACTATCCATTAACATTTATTTCTCGGCTTTGGTGGTTCTCGCGATCGTAACAGCTATTGGGCATTTAATTACAAAGCCTAGTCAGTTTATTTTGAAATTCTCTTTCTAGTATTTACTACCCCATTTGATTTGGGCCGATATGCCTTGTTGAATCTATACAACTTCATAGGTTGGTTTACAATTTGGCATATAAAGGGTGATCTGTGTTATGGTTGATGGGCAGCAGTGTAGGAAATCTGGGAAAGAAATCTTTGAAAGGCTTGTGCTGATGACAGCTATCTTAGCCTTTGTACATAGTGTGGTTTCTGTCCATGCTAAGGACATTTTTGGAAAAAACATATTTCATTAACTTTTTCAAGTGATTGCAGTTTGTTTTTGAAAATTTTTATTTACGTGAACAAAATTATATTCTAAGGCAACAAAGTAATATAGTAATATTTAAGGAAAGAAACATATGCCTGGACTTGTTGTTCTGCAATTTCTTGAGGACCTGGGGAAATACCCTAAAGGAGCCCTTTGCTTGTGTGGACCCATCGATGCAGTTGTGTGTGTGCATGGCTGCCGTGCTTTTAGTCCTCTCTTCTAGAAAAACATGGTGGGGAGTATGGGCACTGAATGCCTTATAGAGCTGACAGGAAGATAGTGTTTGTTTTTTGTTTGTTTGTTTGGTGAGGAAGATTGGCCCTGAGCTAACGTCTATTGCCAATCTCCCTCTTTTTGCTGAGGGAGATTAGCCCTGAGCTAACATCTGTGCCCATCTTCCTCCATTTTGTATATGGGATGCTGCCACAGCATGGCTTGGGGAGTGGTGCGCAGGTCCATGCCCAAGATCCGAACCCATGAACCCCAGTGAACCCAACCACTATGCCACGAGGCTGGCCCCAGATAGTGCTTTTTTGCTTATATAGTTTATTCTTTATTCAGAAAGGATTAAAGATATCATAAGACTATCTTAGTAAAATAGAGAAATATATAAAGAATATTAGGGTTAGGAAAAATAGAATATGGGATAAATGGTAAGATCACAAGAAAAGCTTATCAAATTCAGGTAATTAATAAGGTTGAACTGGAAATTTAACTGTACATTTCCTGGTGAAATCATGGTTATGTCATAATGAAGAGCATTACATGCATTATTTAGAGTTAATTCTCACTATAGCACCATGAGGTAGTGCTGTTAAATTCCCCCCATTACTCAGGTGAGAAAACTAAGAATCCAAGTATTACAAATAAGTAGCAGACCCAAAATTTAGCCTAGTCCATTTGACTCCACACCCTGAGTTCCTAATGACAACACATAACTGTCTCTAAAAGTCTCTTTGTCCATGAGAAGAAAACATCCCTCTAGGCAGACTGAACTTCTGCCTTGTAGTTCTTAAAAAATAAGAAGGGACACTTTGACGATATGAGAAGAATGTCCTCAGTGACTTCTGAAGAGGAAGCAAATAGCAGATTTCTAAGACATCTCTCAGTGCAAACCCCAGAGACAGAATACCAAAGAACAGCTCCCAGTGAGAACCACCTAGAGTGTGTGGCCTTGAAGCAAGTGGGGAGGAGGAAGCTCTTGGCCAGACATCTTAGCCCAAGGATGCATCTCTAGCAGTTCAGCTTGATCCAGGAGTTAAACTGAGAAGTGAAAAGAAAGAGGAGAGGAGGTGCCAATGTTATGTATCAGGTGATGGCTAGGATCTAAGAGATCTGCTGTAGGGAAAGTGCTCTGCTACATGGTATATTGTGAAGTCGGCTAAAGGTCAAGTGACTGTTCATCCCAGTTTGCCCAGGACGATCCTGGTTTATACCTGTTGTCCCAGCAGAGTTATTGATAGTGTCCTCTTTCACTCTCAACAATGTCTAGTTTGGATAATAACCATATGCCACGCTATATGAAAGGGATGATGGTGATGATTATGATGGTCACGGAATTTCCTTATTTTTAAGGCTATTTCATACAAATTCCAATTGCTTATTTTGCCTAGAAGAGAAAAAGGGCATAAATGCAAAGCATGATGTATCTAAATCAGTTTGTGGGTAGACATTGTAATACAGACCCCTTTAAATAGCTGCTTAAAAATGACACTCATATTTTTAAGTTTTCTTATAAATTGGAAAAGATAAAGATAGTCAATTGACTTGTTTGGACATTTCTGGCAAAAATGTCATGGCTCTTAATGATTGTTGTGAGGAGGGAATTGGGCTTAGAGCTCCCTTTTATTCTCTGGCAAAGAACACACCTGAGAATTTGTATGTCACATATCAGGAACTCACATTGAAGGGTGAGTAAACGCACTTGAGCAGTTGAATCTGCAGACTCAGTCATATAATGAAGGTAGATGTTAGAGAAGTTTACCTTCTAATTAAAAGTAAGGTTCGCTGTAATCCAGTTTTAACTTGGTGACTGGGAAAAAGTAAAAGCAATTTTTAAAAAATTTATGTAATAAGAAACATCTGAGTCTTCAGATATTCTTCATATGGTGAGTATAGTCTAGTGAAAAATGTTATCTAACTGACTCTAAGCTTAGGCAAGTCACTGAATTAATTTTTCCACACCACTGCTTCCTCACAAGTAGAAGGGGATCATATTTCCTACCCTGTTCATCTCAGAACATTATTGTTGGGATAACAATAAGATCCACAAAATCATGTAAATAAAAGGGTATTGTTGGGGAACGGGTTTAAAACTCTAGAGAAATGTAAAGTTGTTTGCAGAACTTTCATCTGTTTTCAAAATTTGCTTTGAAATATAAATATTTCAGTACTTATCAGGCAGTAACATAAAAAATTCAGATTAGTTTCAAGGGATCGGGAGAAGGAAGCAAAACCTTTGGCAAATAAGAGAACTCAGAAAGTGAAAGTTATATGTTTCCATTATCATGTTTAAGTTCGTATGACCAGTGGCAGGTTGTTGAATCCTTCATTCATACTATCATCATCAGGACGTGTTTATGGAGAATATTGTCCCTGTAGAGAACTTGCTAGTTGCTAGAGATACAAAGAGGTAAATGAGATGGTCTCGCTTCTCTCAGACTCACACTGAAGAGATGGCGACATACATGCATAAGGCCACTCAGTGCTATCAAAGGTAGAGTTCACTCCACAAATGTATTTTTTGAATGCGCCTACCAGCCCGGCACTGTGTTAGACGCCAGACGTGCGGTGGTAAATACTACACTGGGGACACGCTTGGTTGACGTGGGAGCACAAAGAGGGGAACCTGACCCAAACCGAGGAGGTCAAGAATGCCTTACCAGAGGGAATGCGGTCTTGAAGCTGAGCACCAAAGGATGAGTAAGAACTGAGCCACTCTGGCTGTGCTTTCCAAGCCCTTCTT